AGTGAGATGGCAAAGTGTTTTCATGATACTAATTTGAGGTCATAAATATGAAATTTGGTGGCAGAGATTGCAAGGACCTCAGTATAATGAGTGACTGGGTAGCAAAATGGCAGATAGAAATACTTGTAGTTAAAAGTAAAGCAATGGCTGCGCAGGGGGAAACCTCTTCAATTTGCATGCAAAATAATGGGCTCTGAAATAGCTTTCACACATCAGAAAGTGACCTTGGGATTGGGACAGGTCTGTCATGATGTCAGCTCAGTGCTTCATGGAGGCAAAAACCAAAGAAAAACAGAACAGATCGAATGTTTAGGAATTATTAGAAAAGGGAAAAATCCCAGCTACCCTGGATTAGAAAATACAGTCATGCCCTCAGGTAAGTTTTCTAGGGCAGATGCACAGTAGACTCTGTGATTTGTTCTGATTCACTTGTCTTAAGAAGTGCAAGAAGAATGTCAAGTGATAAGAAACATCTTCCATACAAGGAGCAACTAAGCAAACAAGAACTGTTTGGCCTGGAAAAGGGATGATGAAGGGAAGGGAGAGGGAGATAAGAAATATAAAATGGCATAGAGAAAATGAGCAATTCTACTTTCTCACGAAATACAAAGACTCAGGAGCATTAAATAAACTTACAAGTGGCAGATTAAGAACAAAAGGAGGTGGCTTTTTACACAGTGCATAATTAATCCATTTTACTTTCTTGCACAAGATGTTGCAGATGATAAAATGCATGTTGGTGCAAAAAGCCATTGCACATTGTCAGGGAAGACAACTTTCCTCTGAGGGCTGTTAAGTGAAAAAGCACAATCTCTGGCTCAGGAAACCTCTGAACCGCAAATTGCTAAAGCCTGAGAGACTTTACATTCAAGAAGCATCTCTATATATTTGCCCTGTTTTTCAAATCTTTCCTAGAAATCTGTTAGTGGTAACTGTTGGCAACAGGATACTGGACTAGACGGGTATGAGGTCTGACATACTGCTACCAGTCTTACATTCTTTTTTACATAGATTAATTCAAAAGTTGGATTGAAGTTTTAGTGAGAGTATCTAAGAATAGAAGGTGAAAGGAAGGGATGTTAAGGGCAAGCTGTCTTGACAGGCAAAATTATGTCAGCAACATCCCTGGAAAATATGGAAGGGACAGGAAAAGAAAACAAGGAAACTTGAGAAAATTGCAACAAAGGGTAATGATTCTATGATTCTGAAGTTGATTTAATTACTGCAGAAAGTAAGGCTTATTTATATTTATTTAAGTAATTGTATATGTAACTTCTTCACCAGTTTAATGGGTTAAATAAATGGGGATTGTCATTTTTGCCTAGCTAAGATTTTATCTAAAGCGAGATAATTCAAATAAAATCCTTTTGAGTTTCATTAATTACACTTCCAGTAGTGTGTTTAATGCAGTTCTGAATGTCTTTATACTGAGGGGGAAAAAAGAATTGTAATGACATCAACCAAAAGTACATTCTTGCAAATGCTGAGGGAGTGGACTATTTAATGTATTATTATGAGAATTCATTGATAACAATGGGTGATTATGACCACTGTTGTCTAATGACTGTTAATTATTATCACAAAGAATGAGGCTAATTATAGGTCCCTTTCCCAGATAGAGTTAGCTGTGAAGGAACATGAATATTAGCAATACAAGCTGTTTCCTCTAAGTCAAGGGTCGTAAAGACTGACAAGTAAATTATATTTGGCTCAGAACTACAAAGAATAAAATTTAAAAACAGTGAATGCTCCCAAAAACTTATTTCCTCACAGCTAGATCTTATTTTAGGCTTCATATGCATTATGTGAAGGGGTACAACTTGCCATGGTAACTGTTTGGGGAAATTGCAGATATAACAAGGTAAGAATGTTGGAAGTCCTGAGGCTGTGATAGGAATAATAACTTTGATGTTTTCTCTTTCTGAGAACATTGTAGAGAATAGTCCTACAAAGACAGGAGAATGGACCAGATGACATAATTCTTTCTAAAAATCATCTCTTCCTTTGTTTCTTTCTGGTCCTCATGCTTTTTCCTGCTTTGTGGCAAATCGGTTGGCAACAAATAAAAATTACAGCGTCTGTTTCTACTACCCATCTGGGTTTTTTTTAATGTCACCCACACATGCCCATGTATCTACCCACCCACTCATATTATCCCTTTCACAGAACACATTCATTCTCTCACTCACAGAAGTTATTCATCCCAACATGCACTAGTGCAGTTGCCATTTAGCTTTTGTTTACTGGTAGCCGTAGCAATATTTAAACAGATGTCTATTTACATCTGAAGAGCACATCAATTCTTGCCTGTATGCGTGCACAGCCTTAGTTATAGTTTCTAATGTCAGTATCTTCCTTTGTTTGCACAGTCACCAGCAGTGTCAGTATTTCTGTTCAGAGTTGAATAATATGCTATTTCCCTTTTGATGTCTTTGAATATAAAAGACTTGTAAATGTTTAAATTAAAATGCCTTACCTAAACTAAAGTTCAATTTACTAGGCCTATTCTGATATTTGAATCACTCCTTTCAGTTATGAGGGACTAGCTGAACTTCAGTTTCCTGAGACTTCTGTAAATAAATCAATGATCAGAGGTTTCTTTCTACCCAAAATAGTGGGATGTTTTTCATAATAAAACCTGGGATGCAGTGATCATGAACAAGGAAAAATGTACATATTCGAGGATCCACATATTTTCTGAACAAGGTCTCCAAATATGAATGTCAGCCTATAATATATTTCTTTACTATCAGAAAGGAAAAGATACTTTAGCATTGAAAGGAACCTGTTCCAGACAAAATCTTCTTAAAGATGGATTATAAACTACATGGTTTTATCAGTTTTCTATTAACTTTGCCTTTACCTTCATAGGTTTCTATCTCTGAATTGAGAGCAGTAGATCTTGGACAGTTAAGCAAAGTGCTTGTTGAGCACCATAATGTGGGTTATGGAGCTGGATGGTACCTGGACAAAATTGTCATCCATGAATCAGGCAACAATGATGGCCAATATGCATTTCTTTGCCAGCAATGGTTAGACAGTGGAGTTGGTGATGCACAGACAGAACGGATGTTGAAACTTCTTGGAAAAGTCAAGAATGAGACATTGACAGGAAAGATTTGTGGTAAGGTCCAAAATCATCAAAACTCCTTCCAGCTTTTGTTTTAATTGTAGTTCATATTATGTTTTGGGTTATTTTAAAGACTTAAACCAAAATACAGAAATAATATATCTTACATGAGAGTTGCCTCTCTCACACCATTTTTCTCTCCAAGCACTTTCCAGAGCTTGTAAATACAATTATAATATTCATGGGAAAAATACTAGAGCAGAAGGGAGATATTAAGCAATGGAGGCAGTGAAGGAACTGTGTTTTCAGTTGAGACTAGAAAAAAAGCTGAAGCAGAAAGAGGTAGGTTGTTCCATATGGCAGTCAATGCAGAGCAGAAGGCTCCTGCAACAGTGATGAAATCACAAGAAGAGATAAAAAAACTCTTTTAGTAGAATGATTTTCCCGTATGTTCATATATTTGCAAAAACCATTTGCTTTTATTTGCAGTTTTCTTTTTTGCTTACATCAATGGCACAAGTTCTTGCAAACAGTTGGTTGACCTGAACCCAATATCCTATTCAAATGGTTTCATGAAAAAAGATGAAAATTCAGAAAAAAACTTAGACTCTGAAACATGATAAGCCATTTATGCTTTGCCAGGGTAGAGTATTTCTTATCTCTTTCACATGTCTTTTTTTGAGAGGTGTAAAATGTTGGTTTGAGTCCATTTATGAATTCTGAATCAGAACTGGTAGACCAAACTATATAAAGTTTAACTAATCTGAAGGTGTGAATTTGCATTCTATATTAGCAGTTTTTTAACCTTATCTTAAATAATTTCTATGCTCATAGATATTTTATGCTCAGAATTTTACATTATACATAGTTGCAGACACAATTAGTGGTGTGTATTTAGCTGCCTGTACTTAGTCCACTAATTAATATCTTACATCGTCTAAGGAAATAGAGAAATGTCACTGAGACAAAAGGACAGAATACCATGGAGATATAAGCATAGGATGAGCAGCTAGACTACTGACAATTTCAGGATATGAAAAAGCTGTATTGCACCACTGCAAATATTCTAGGTCTCTAAAACAGATTTCTTTGATGCCCTTCATAATCCACAGAGCAAGGCCTGCATCTCCCAGGGCTAACTCAGAGCAGAAGCCCAAGGTTGGTCAGTCTGTTGCATCTTTCTTCACTGACACTACGAAAAGTGATAGAAATCTTGCATCCTTGTTTATGCACCTTAATTGTGTCCAAACATAACTACGTAAAAACATTTTCCTTCTTCTATTTCCCCCCCACACATAGTCTTCAAAAATCTGATTGCAGACTTGGCAGTATTTTCCAGTCTATTATTAATACTCAGCTCTGTATCTATTGAAAGTCAGTTCTGTTCTGTGTGTATAATAACTTTAGAAAGAATGTAACAAGTAAGCAGAGAGCCTATAAGGAACAGAATAGTAAAAGACTGGCCAGCAAGGAGTGACCTTAAAGGTCAGAAAGTATATAGATACAATGGGACTTACTAAATGTCAAACTGACTCAGATTTTCTTAAAAAAAAAAAAAAAAGAAAAAAAAAAGAAAAAGAAAAAGTAAAACAAATTATAAAGGTTCTTCAAGCATTTAGTTATTCAAAGAATCTGAAAAGATGTGTAACTAACTATACAGGGACAACAGGTTGCAGACTGAAGATGATGTAGGTAAAATCCCTAAACAAGTTGAATACTTTATCTCAGTTTTCATTAAAGAAACATCATGTTGGGAAAGGAAAGAAAACCAAAATTACTAATAGTAATGAGGTTACTAGAAATGAGTAAATATAATATGCAAATAGAACTTCAAATTTCATGTAGTCAAACACTCACAACCAAAGGGATCATTAGCCCAGAATATTGAAGGAACTGGGAAATGAAGTGGCAGATCTAGTAGCTAGGATTTAAATGAATTTTATGAAGACAAAAGATAAGACTTGAAAATAGCAAAGAAAATCAACTTCATCTAAAAAGTAGAAAACATAATGTAGGTGACTTGTAAGGGATCACATGCAAACCTTTATAATACACTTTGAAGTAAAGAGGAGTTAAGATAACAGAGGCAAATAGGAAATGAGAAAGAATGCATCATGATTTCACTAAAGATAGATTGTAAAGCAAAGCTGATATTCTTTAGAAATATTTTCTGGTAAGAGAAATGTAATGACATCTAATCTGTCTTAATTTCAGTGCTGAGTTTTATTTGCTTTATGGGACACTTAAGTAATAATAAGAAAGGAGAAAGTAGCAGTAAAAGGAAGAATTGTCTGTTGGTGCTACAAAGCGCTGTCAGGAAACGAAGTGGTTGTAAAACAAACATTGAGAACTGGAGGAAAGTAATGGAACTGAATTCTATAGCACAGAGCTTGAATCCAGTTAGGCATAAAACAAACTAAATGTTTGAACACTTAATTCTGGCACAGGTTCCTAATGTCTATTTATTTATTTTTAATTATGAAGTAAATAGTAGCTAGTAGTCTAAAAACTATTTTGGATCTGAATCTGCATGTCTTGTAGTGATTTCTGCTACAAGAGTTCACTATCAGGTTATGACTAGGAGAAAAACCTGGGCTTGCTATATGACTGCAGGATAGATTCTGAGACAGTAATGAGGTGAGGCTGTGAGAAAACTGATTGTGATCCCACATTGCATGTAGGTATGACCACTGAATATAGAAAAGAATTAATGTCACCACGAAGAAAGAGTGATATTTCACCAGGAATGTTGTGTGCTATTGTCATCTCTGTCCAGAAGAACTGCTTCAAGCTGTAATAGCTGTAAAGAAGTTATGAGGACTGGGAATACAGCAAGTCTTTGTTGTGAAAAGATATTGACAAAACTTGATGTATTCCAACTAGCAAATTCAGTGCTTAAAATGGACACAGTTGTGATCTATCACATTAAAGGCAGCTTACACATCAAGGAGTGAAGTTAATTTCAGAGGTCCATTAGTGCCAGTCTGTGAAAATCAAAAGAATTCTTCGGAAGAATGGATTTTTAGCATAGCTCTCTTTTAGATTTAACTGAAGAGAATGAAAGAAGCTGAAAGTAGCTGCTTTTAAATTGAATCTTGACAAATTTATCAGAGATTATACAATAGAGTTTACATTTAATAGCAGTGTTACAGTGCTATGTGATTCAGCAGAGACAGTCCTTACAGTCATTCTTCCTTGGTAGCTATACATTGATGGTTTAAAGGCTCAGCATTTCAGTACCTTAGGGCTAAAATCCCCTTGGATTGTGTCACAGGGAATTTGATAACTCACTGCTTGACTTCCATTTATTCATGGATATCATTGGCTTAATTTATCTTTATGTTCATAGACATGAAAATGGTAGCTATTTATGATTATCCATAAAGTCATAATATCTGAATTTATTTTAGATTATTATAAGGATGGCAATTGTTAACTTTTTTACATTCACCAACTACTGAATTAATAGCACAGATCCATCCTGTTCTAAAGATTTGCCTATTGTGGTTAGAGACATGGACTTTGCAGGACATAAACTCGGAAAATCTGTTTTCATCATTTAAAGTAAAATGACCTGTTTTGTAAAATAGCCGTTTGACATTATTAAATCCATTCTTGGCCCAACTTTTCATTAACAAAGCTAAATTATCTCAGTAGAAAAATGGTCATGCTCAATTCTGCACCAGCCCAGACAACCAAAACCTCTGTAGGAGCTTCCTGTCTGTAGCAGTAATGATTTTTATTATTATTTTTTAATGTAAAGGATGGTTTTGAGAGCTCTGAATTTTCCATGTATTCTATTAACATGAATGAATATGTTAAAGCAAGATAAATCAGTGGGATTTTTTTTTTTTTATGAGTACAGTTTTCTGATCCTGAAAAATGTTTGGTTGATAGGAGGCTTGACTAAATAACCATTCAGTATAGTGTTACAGAAGTTACTCAGGACCCTACCTGATATCAGTCTGTACATCAATTTGCTGTCCTTACAAGTCTTCAGGTGACTGCATTTCATCTAGAATGTTTAAAAGGCTGAAAAGTTCACACCATACCTTTACTTTGAACAGGATCTGCTATTCTTTTTTAATTTATATATTTATTTATTAAGTGAAGTTGCTGAGTTTGACTGTGTCCCTAAAGTAGGCAAATCTATGTGTTGCTACAGAGGATTATTTTTATTTTCTCACCAAATATCGCTTCTGAACAGGTAAAATGAATAAAGTTCTGTACTTTGTTGGCATGATAATTTTAGTGATCCGTAATAAAAATATCACATTTCAAGTTCTGAGCCAGTTTATCACATCAGTATCTTGTTACAGAATATTTCTAGCAAATTTTAGCATTCTAGTTTTAGTAGCTCCTCAAAAAGTCAAAATGGAAAAAATACCTGTCCCCAGCCAAAGGCAAAACTGATAACCAGTATTATCAAGTAGAAAATATGCTGCTTTTGCGCGATGATTAGTGGGGAAAAATACAATTTAAAATCATCAGTGGAGACATCCATGAGGGAAAGAAATTAACAGGTTGGCATGGCTCATCCTAAGTCTCTAATATGGAGCTGGCAGTCTTACCTGCATAGTGCCACTGGACTGGCCCATCTCTATAGGGTCAGCCCCACTACAGAAGGGCTGGTGTCCAAATCTGCTTCTCACTAAGTCAATGATAAGACGTGAACCTGTTATGTGCAAGTATTTTCGCTCAGTGCAAACATGGGAATGTGTTGCTAGCTGCTAACTTGCTCACTCAGCCTGTTACAGATTGCTGTATTATTCTGGATATTCAAAAAGCCCAGTAATTTTTTTCTACTGTTTTGTTCCAACAGGGACTTGGGCTGTCCTTGTCACCACTAGTGATATTTCTTCTAGTTCCATTAATCCAAAAATGTCTCTAACTGTATGTGGTGAAAAAGGTACCTGTACTTCAGTCATATTGCCAAAAGGATCACTTAAAAAAAAGCAGATTTATGAGACTTCAATTGAACTAAGTAAGAAATTCAATACTATATTCAAAGTTCGCCTAGAAATTGAAGAAGCTGGAGAAGGAGAGACTTGGTATTGCCGTGAGGTAAAACAACAACCACCAAATAAAGCAATTACTGATTGTGTATTTATTGTAAAATTCTCCTGTTTTTCATATCCTGTGATTACTGCTTCTCGTTTCCAGTTCTGTCTGAAATTACATAATTTTAAATTTACAAATGCATCTGGTAACAACACTTGAAGAGTCATAACTTCAGAGACTGCTCAAAACATTTATTAGGATTGCTATGGATAACAAAAATCTTGTAAACTTCAGATTTCTGGAGGGCAAATATATACATGTAACATCATCTAGAGCATATCCAGTGGTCACTTTTCAGAACTGTAGCCAGTGGCATATGTTGCAGCCTTTCCCTAACTCCAAATTGGCTGTTGTAGACCCAGTGATCTGAGGCAAATAATTAAGCTAGACACTAGGAATGCCTTTTGATGAAAATATCTGCCTTTAAGTTGGCATGAGAAAAAAAAAGAGAAATGAATAACAGAAGCGACAATCTTTCTTCTGATGTTCAAGATGCTGAAGCTAAAATCTGACATTGCACTGAATTGCTGAATTTGTTCACTATGCACAAAATATCTTCATCCTCTTATGCTGGCAAAATAAAGAGAAGTCTAAGGGAAAGAATTATCTTCTTTCAAACTGCAGACACATTTTTGCCTGTCGATGTCTGTATTTTGTTCTCATTAATAACTGGAGAAAAAAAATATTTTCCTGTTTAATACATGATTTTAGTGAGCTGAGCCTCCTCACATTAAAGTAGTAAGCAGGTTGTTAATTTAATCTTCATAGCCAGATGAAGCAGTCATCTAAAAAAATCTATTGATATAATTTAGATTGCTTCTTGGATGTTGTAGAAGACAGTGGATTACAATAAAATTTCAGGACAGAAACTTGGCAGTTGAAACCAGTGACATCCATTAGCCTGTTTTACTTCATTAGCTCAGAACAATGACTCAAAGCTGAGTTAGTAAAAAAATCGTTATACAGGTAAGAAAAGGATGCACATTTACATTAGGTAGGATTACAAAGAGAAAGAAAGAAAATATAATTTTCCCTCTTTTGGGGCATATGCAAATTGTTGGGGTTTTAAGAATTAAAACCCTGTTTATTCTATGCATTTCATAGCAGGACTGATTGAATCCTTGCATGCAATAACTAGGTTCGTATAACAGGTTGTGGATAATATCTGTTATGAAAGACAGGCTAGCACTCTATTTACATGGTTGGTTAGAAACAGAGTGGTTATTTCTATGCTATTTTCTTTTTATTTTACAAGATTGCACTTCACAGAGAGTCTGAGATTTCCTGCTTCTACCACTAGTAAATGCAGGTGCAGTTGGTTGAATTCCATTTTTAGATTCAGAAATCACTTTTATAACCATAACTGCAAAATAATTGCCTTGATGTTTTTGAGGAAATTGAAATTATTATACAATAATGTCCAGAACATAATTAATTAAGATATGCTTTATTTCTGAAGCATATAATAGCTAACACCTTTATTCTTGCTTCTTTCACTTCTTGATGAAACAAAGAGCAATAAATGAAATCTGATTTTCAAGAAACTGTTAAGGAATGTAGATGTTGGTATGAAAGGGAAATGGTATCAACATTGTACTTCACACTTAATTAAAAAAAATCTTTTCAATGTGTCTGTCACCATGAAAAATAATAGGAGTCTTTTGAAGACAAAAATAATGCCATCTCCTACTGACAACTGCTAGCCAAAGATATTTGAACTTACTGGGCTAAGGGTTTGGTCATTTTAATTAGGTAGATCATGAAGAAATGGACAAGTTAATTTTCTGTGCCCTTTTCAAGGAAGTTTACTTCTTGCTACATACGTCAAATATCTTGCCTGGTCTAGTTTTAAATAGTTTAGAAAATGGGACTTTATGTCTTAGTGTAGTATATAGAGCCATCGTGTAAGACACCTCCTTATTAAAATATGTTTCATTATAGTAAGCCTAAGCTACTTAGCACAGGATCACCCTTTTATTGCTTTATATACAGAACTTCATAGAGATTAAAAATATTTAGTAACACACTCTATATATTTATATGATACATATGTACAGATACATATATGCACTGTTAAACAGTCTTCATTTCTGTTTTTCAGTTTTCCCCAGAAACACTTCATTTTCATTCTCCTGTTACTTAGAATGAGAAAACATTCTGCACTGAAAAATGTTGTGGCATACTGACATTTCTCACAAGCTCAGATGGGCATATCAACACTTTTTTTTCTTCCATATGCTGGCTGAATAGGTTACATAACGGAACCTTTTGAACCATTCCAAATATTATTTTTTTCCTTACAACAGTCTCTACAGCAATAATGTTGACAACATTTTAATTATTTTTAATTGGGAAAAATGTCTATTCTTTGTCTTTTAAAGGCTGCTTTCAAAAACACTTTAGAAAAAATATTATTTTTTTATTACTAATTTATGTGTAAAAGCTGTTTAATAACGTCTTTTGCTATAGCTTCCATTAGAGCACAGCAGGTGCTGAAGGTATTTCTTTTTGCTCTTTGCTAAGGTAAAGCTTCAACACAGAGAAAGTAAAAATCTTCTAGAATTTCCATTTTGCCACAACTTTGCAGATGAAGAAGGAGGAAGAGTGGCTGAGCTTCCAGTTCTCACAGCTGGCTCTCCTTTTCCAGCAGGTTTGTCAAAAATCAGAAACACTGGCAAAGATCTGGACAGTGATGATGCCTAAAATTTGCAGAGCAGTCCAAGGGATTTAGCAGATACTTTCTCTTCCTTTTAGCTAGTGGTGCATAGCCAGGTCCAATCCACTCCACTGTTTTAAAAAAAAATAATATCTTGGTCCCTGTAACTGAGCGTTGTGCATGCCAGTCTGATTGGTACCGATTTCTGACACACAGAACAGGAAATATACAGTGCTGAAAATATTAAAAAAGTTTTGAACGGTTCTCAGAGTTCAGCTTTTTCTCAATAATACGGTTTAGTTCTCTCCCAGAGGAAACAGCAGAAATCCAGAGAAATAACTCTTCTACTGTAATTTCAGGTAAGAAGGAGATCCATGGCTGTTCACAACAGAGGCTCATCAGTTTGTGTTCATAGCAGTCACACGTTATGAAAAGTCCTTCGTGCCAGTCATGCCTCGATCCCCTCAAGATTGGATTTTCTTTAGTTTGCTCTGTGTTTCTGAAAAGATTTCATGACCAAAGTTAGTGAAGGAAGGATTAGCTCTTGCCCTACATGGATATTCTGCTATGAGAATATCCCAAGGTCCTCCAAGTGTTTCCCAGGAGTGGAGAGTTTAGATCAATAGCCCAAGTAATCTGTGTATTCCTGGCCTTTTCTACTGTGCTTTCAGAATTAGTCTCAAAAACACTTGGGCAGAAGCTCCTTGATTATGAATTTGGGAAGAGTACTGCCGTGGGGTATTTCCTGGGAAAGCTTTTTGTCTTTTAATACTTTTTTTTATTTTTACTTTTTTTTTTTTTTTTTTCTGTAAGAGCACAGATGTTTAAAAAACCTTTACTAAGTCTCCTTCTCTTTCTAGTTGGAGCATTTAACATGAGGAAAGATATTTAGAATCATAGAATTCGTAGAATCATAGCATGGTTAAGGTTGGAAGGGACCTTAAAGATTAAGAGGTTCCAACCTCCCTGCTATGAGCAGGAACACCTCCCACTAGACCAGGCTGCACAAAGCCTCATCCAACCTGGCCTTAAACACCTCCAGGGAGGGAGCATCAACAACCTCCCTGGGCAACCTATTCCAGTACCTTACTACCCTTATGGTGAACTCACAAACTGCTTAGCTTATTATTCCTCATAATAGTAGTTCTTAAATTTTAATTTCAATGCTTTTATGTGTTTTTCTAAGCATTATGATATTGTTTTGATGACTCTGGGCAGGACCAAAATTAAAATATAGTAGTAGAAATGTATGAAAGAACATATATTTTAACTGATTAAGCTTTGGTAAACCTTTGATCTCTTCTTCCCCAACAGTGAAAAACTATGTTCTCTATATCACTACGGGAGCATCCCCTGGGTCTGGAACAGATGCAGATGTGCATGTCATGCTCCAAGGCCTTTTAGGAGATACTGGCAGAAGAAAGTTAATCAGAAAAGGCAATGACAATTTCACTAAAGGAAAGGTATACTTATACTTTCTGCATGATCTTTTGCACTTTTAGAACCCAATCCAATTCTTGTGGAATAAATGGGAGTAGGATAGAGTCTATAAAGTCCAGTTTGCAATGATCTGTGATTGTAATGTGAATATCTCTATCTATCTTACATGGAAACTACTCGTGCTTATGCAGCTGTTGCTAACAATACTGATAAAGTAATAAAGTGACTATATCAAGTGCTTTTAGTTTCAATTTTTCAAATAGTGAAGGTCTTCAGTGTCATGTCAGTGGGTTTTATGCATATTTGCTTCACAATAGAGCTATAAAGTGACTCCTTTCCCTTCAATGCCTCTTTTTTTCCCATGTCCTTCTTCAGACTAAGGCTCCTTTCCCTGGCTTTTGCCTTTCTACGGGCAGGCTGCTTCTCAGTCTGGCTCTTGGTCTCCCTCTGGAATGTCAGTCACTACCCTCCATAGTTTTCTTACCAAGAGAGTAATTCACTCACTGTGCCAGAGTGAGTCTTGAAGATTGTGGATGTAGCCTCATCAAAGACCAACACAGCTGTTGTAGAAGCATTTGCCTGTAACTTTGTCAGTATTAACAGAAATTAGAGGGAATTTAGTTACTGAATGTGCTGCAAAAACATGGGCAGATTTAGAGCAAAATGCGTGTCTTTGACATAAAACCTAGTCCCTGTAGGAAGTCCTGTAATGATAGAGGGAGTGAAATTTTCAGCTAAAAAGATCTCCAGATTTTTTGAAGATGGAATAAACAGTTTTTATTTTCTGCAGATCTTTATTTGAAAAAAAAACAAACAACAGGATTAAAACAATTTGATAAAGATTCTGAAACAAATGTCTGTTACAGAAAATTTGAGTTGGAATACTTAAAGTTTAGGAAAAGAAACACCAGTGTCTTGCAACCAGAAATGCTGAACGTATTAAACATTAGGCAGTGCTGTGTGTCCTCATAGCATGTGCACTCTTCCACCTTTCTGAAGCTTCAGTGAATACTGTGATTATGGTATTCCAACCCATCCCCCTTCTGAAAATATCATGCTGCAAACGATTTCCTTCTGCTTGTGTCGTCTGCCAAAAGAATAAGTTTCTCTAAGGAAGAGAACTTGCAAATCAGCTTGGATTGATGACCAAAGTAGAGGCATGATATGTGGGATTAGGAGCTCAGCTCCTAACTATCAACAGCCTCATGAATACAGTGAGAGTTGAAGGGGGTCGTTATCTTGCTGGATTTTTGCCTACTTAAAATGCCTATTCATAAGAAAAGTGAGAGAGTTCAAATATTTATTTTTTTTTTAAAAAAGGAAATAAATACTAGTGGATGAGAGTGCTCAGTTTTATAAAAGCACATTCATCTTCCCTGTTGAAATTCAGATTATGGTTTTCTGAGAAGCTGTTTTAATTTGATTTCAGAGCTTCAGTCCTTTCATCCTCATGGAATAAAGTAATTTTATTGTAAGTTTTACTGGATTTCTCCTAAAATCATAATTCTGCAAGTAAGTAGTCTGATTTCTAGACTGACAATTTTTCATGAAGAGGGAGGGACCAGGGAAGAAGATCTAGAAGTGTTGCCTGAGAGGACAGAAATTAACTACAAAGATTCATAACCTAAGGGGTGTTTTTATAGTGTTTGTGTCTACTTCAGTGTGACACAAAATTCTTCTCTTTTACAGAGTAAGAAGCAGAGCTGGCATGTACCCATGTCTTCATTACTTATTTGACATTTTACAGGAGCGGTGTGTAAATGTAACACAGTATTCGTTTATTTCTAAAAGCAGATCTCATCACTGGAATATTTTAGGACACTAAATAGAAATTGCTTGTAGATAAGTAACAGAGAAACACAGAAAAGTCTTGATTTTCCCCTTGTTCAGTAAAAATTAAGGTATTTGGTTAATTGACAAAGTGTGAATTGATTTTGCAAGCACGACTCCTGCCTTTTCAGCAACATTTTGTTCATGACATGTTTTGGAAATTTCCCAATGTTTTCTTCCCTTTGTAAGTAATCTCCAAAAAGACTCTCAAGTGTAGAATGTCTCCTCTACCAGCCCAATCACATATTGTGCCAAGCACCCCTGCAGTCAGAGAATCTGGACCTGGTATTTTAGGGGATTTTGGAGTATAACAGACACATAATTTGCATTCTGAATCTTAACAGTTGTCCTGACATTTTAAAATGTGCTTTTCCTTGCAATAATTTTTCCCCTGACTATACAGTAACAGCCAGTGAACTGGAACTGTATTTCTGTTAGAAATCACATCAAAATATGATGTTAATCTCACAGAAAGTCAGGGCTGCCAAAAACAACCATTTAGCAATGCAGAAATACATACAAATGTTTAAGTATTCAGTGGACTTTGCAGTGGATTGGAGACATGCTTCTCTTATTTCAGAGGTCTTTTATTTACATGAGCTGGGTTACATGATAGTAAAAGACTGATTTAACTTCTTATAACTGAAAAGTTGTTTTGTGTCTTTCCAAAGCCCTTACACCTGTGAGACTTTGGGAGAACTGGTAGAAAAACTAATGTGTATGAAACTATTAGTTCAGCAACACGCTGCCTGTAGCTCAGCCCATGTCAGAGAGAGAAGCATTGTCACCCTTCTGGTGACACTCTTTGTCACTCATTTGTGACTCATTGTCACTCTTCTAGCTGAGTTTCTGATGATCTCAGATGAATAAGTGTGAGGATGAGTGCTGCAAGAACCATGTTCTTTTAAATTGCTATGGCATTGGTGCCTTGTTTGATGTTCTCCTAAAAACTCAAAGGACAGACAAAGCAATCTCAAGGCACTTCTTCATGCCCTTCAGCTTCCATGAAATCCTAATCATATTTATTCATACTTCATGAGTCAGTTTAAGTCTGATAAACATTACCACTGTACTTTTTTTGAAGCAAGTATACTCAGTGCTCATTCTGTAATAACCAGGGCTCAGTTGTGTGAAATCCTTACAGTATTTCCATATTGCTTCTGGCACTCAACATTTTCAGCAAATGAAATTCTTTGTGCTTCTTTGTATGGTCTTTGATAGACTTGCTGTATGTTCTGTCATATGGCTCTGAGTTACCCATACATTTCCTCTTTGAGAATGTGGCTTTTTTCAGAGCAATTCTATGAAAGCCAGTAAATGACATTAGAGTATTTTAATCTCCAATATTTTAAGTACTCTAAGTCACGGAAGCAGTGAAATCTGTGAAATTTTACTTCATTCTATTAGTTGCTGAAAAGATATATCCTTTATCCTGCCCTATATTTAGACATCAACCGCTCAGGTTGGTACCATGGTAACTGCAGCACATACAAAAATTGTCAGTGAGAGGTGACTGTTGGTGCTCAGTTTCAGTACTCACAGATTAAGCATTGGCAATTTTAAAAAATTACTTCAGGAAAAAATCCACATGTGACAGAATACACCAAAAAGGGCCAGAATGTGGAACAGTGGCCACTATTACGAAGTCACTGTCTGCAGTGTCCACATCACATCATATCTAGAATGCTACTTCTTTGTAACTGCAGATAAACCCTCTCTTATGGAAAGCATATCTGACATAATGATTAAATAATTGCAAAATGCCCTTGATCCAAAGTGTGTTCATCACAGTGGCCAAGTATTGTAGTACGGAAGTGAATGTGACATGATCTGGTCATAGAGTAGAGGGATTATTCAGATGGAGACTAGGAAAACTGGGAATACCATCATAGTGAAGGAGAGACTGGTTGGAGGTTGTCAGACTGTGAGGAGAAAAGCAGAAAGAGGGTAACTAAAACTTTATATAACCCTAGGAAACAGTAGCAAATTTCTCAGCAGTGAGCAGTTCTTGGGATGTTATTCCCTAGTTTGTAGTTACAGTCCATTAGTAACAGATTGATAGGAGGCAAAGCTAGAACATACAATAGCAATCACCCAGATTACCTCCATGACACTGGCCAATGGACTAGAGCTGTTAGACTGAATTATTAGTTTTGGTTTCCTGACATATTCTTGCAGAGCAAGAAAAAATTAAATACTTTGTTGCAAAAAAATAAAAATTGGGCAAAATTACTTAACACTCAAATTCTCAAATTAATTCCTTGGAGTCCTGGGGGAGGTTGGGGGGAGGGGGCCAGTTCTCTATCTATGAACAACTCATAAATAAATCACATATATGACATTTCTAAAGCTGAAAAGTATCACTTTTAGCTTTAGTTGCCTGCAATGTATACATTTGTTCTAACATAATGGTTTGAGTTTCTTCTGCAGAAATGGGGTGAAGTAGATGCTTCTAGGAGATGGTTACTTTCTCTCTTTATCTGGACATTTATCTTAAAATGAAAGGAATTGAAGTTTATCTGTTTCTTTCTCAAGATTTTACAAGGAAAGTAACCTCTGTTCTGACTACAGATTTTAGATAGACACAGTTGGGTGAGTGAATTCTACCCCACATTTAATTCAGTTTTTAAATAAACAAGAGAATTTTAAAATAAACTACAGATTACTTTATTAGCTGGATTTATATTTAAAAAAAAAATAAATAGTTATGGTCAATTCAAGTCCACATTTTTCAGCAAATAAAATCTTCAACCGTTTACTTCAATGCTGTAAGTACTGAATTAACTTCAATTCAAGTTAAATAGTTTAGAAATTATATCTAACTCAGAATGCATGGCTTCCAGTGATGAAGGGTTCATCTAACTGGAGAGTTGTTTTGAAGCTTAACTATCCTTAAAAAAAAATAAAAAAAATAAATCATCACACTATTTTTCAAGCTTTAACTTCTAGGAACTGGATTTTGTCACTCTTTTTGACTGTTAGCCTGAATAGCTCTCTTACACCAAATTTCTGCTGACTTTGGCAGTATTTATGGGAATAAACAAATCAGTATGCCCTTGGCAAGTTAAATAGATTAAGCTGCTTGATTCACTGGAAGGCAGACTTTCTAGTGATTTATTAACTCTCACAAATCTTTACTGGGAACTCTTAAATTTAGCATGTTACTTCTTTGAGTGTTACAGCTAGCAATGGT